CCTGTAATCCTAGAACTTTCCGAGGCCAAGGTGGATGGATCACTTGCAGTCAGAAGTTCGACACCAGCCTGGCAACATGGTGAAACCCCGTCTCTACTAAAAATACAAACTTAGTTGGGTGTGGTAGCATATGCCTGTAATCCCAGCTTCTCGGGAGGCTGAGGCAGGAGAAATGCTTGAATCCAGGAGGCGGAGGTTGCAGTGAGCCAAGATCGGGTCACTGCACTCTAGCCTGGGCAACAAAGTGAGACTCTGTCTCAAAAAAAAAAAAAAAGGGCATAAGGCAAAAATGTGCTTGGCAGGCAAGTTAATGGAACAGCACAGGCCTGAGTGGATTGACATAAATAATTAATTAAATAGTAAATAAATAAATAAAGGAAAGAAAGTCAGAAAGTTAACAGGGACCATATTATTTAAGTTCTTGTAGGACACACAGAAATTTCATTTGGAGAAGATAACTGTAGTTGATCTATGGAGAAAAAATTACATGAAAGCAATGGCAGAAGAAAACAGATCACAGTGAGACAGTTTTTGGAATAAAACAGGATAGAGTACAACAGTTTAAAAATCAGAGTAGAGGGAGAGATGATGAGAGGTGCCAGAGTTCAGATATACTTTTTTCTAATATATTAAATATGTGTGTGTGTATGTGTATATATATATATTTTTTATTTTTTTGGTTGAACAAAGAGGAGTTGCAGATAAGACAATGCCTTCACACCACAGCAACAAAAAGAATAGTGATGCTATTAATTGAGATGGAAAACTGGGAAGGAACAGGTTGGTTTGGGTGAAGTAGACAAGAAGCAAGACATCTCCAAATGGACTTATTCATTGGAGATGTCTACTAGACACCAGAAAAATTTGCTTAACAGAAATTTGTATATGTGAGTCTAGGATACAGGGAAGGGGTCAAAACTGGAGATTTAAATTTGGAGGCATTAACATATAGATGATTTTTAGATACATGAGACATAATGCAATCATCTAAAGCATGGGGCCTTAGGCACTTCAAGGATTGGGCCCTGAGGCACTTCCAATTTTTGGTGAGAAGAGCATTGGAGAGTTTAGAAAGCTGAGGATAGCCAAGGGTACTAAGAAAGGGAGAAGAAACAGGGAAACAAGTGAATCCAGGGAAACAAGTGAAGAATGTGTTTCAAGAAGAAAGTTCTCTAGATGAAAATTAGCCTGGACTCCTCAAAAGCTTGAGAAGGAAATAAAAGAAGGATTATTCTAGATTAAGAGACTAAAGGAGCATAACAACCAAAGACAATACATAAACCTAGGTTGCATCCTGGTTCAAAAAAATAATAGCTATTAGAAACATACTTGGGACAACCAGAGAAATTTAAAAATGCACTGAACATTAGACCATCTAATTAAAGTACTGTTTATTTTCTTACGTGTGTCAATGGCATTTTGGTTACATAGAGAGTATCTTTATTTTTAGGAGATGTATGCCGAAGTATTTTGGGGGAATTATAATGGCATCTGCAACGTATTTTCAAATGGTTTAATAAAAAATATATGATAAAATGTTAACAACTGTATTTAGGTGGAGAGTATAAAGAAATTCATTGTACTATTCTTTGACCTTTTCTGATAGTTTGAAACCTTTTATAAAAAAAGTAAGAAAAAAGCAAAGGACAAACAACTCAGTGGAAGAATTTGCAAAAGACATGCACAGACATTTCACAGAAGAGGAAGCTATAAATGCCAAGAAATGAAAAGATACTCAGCCAGCCGTGTTTGTCATCAGGAAAATGCAAATTGAAATCACAAAGCAAGCATTTTACATATCGGAATAGTCAAAATTAAGAAGAATGAACATATCAAGTGTTACTGAAGATGAGGAGTAACGGAAACTCTTGCATGCTACTGGCATGATAAAGACTCAATAATTTCTATGCACCTTAAAACCCAGTAATTCCTGTCCTTTGGGCATACCTTGGAAAAATTCTTCCATGTGTACTAGGAAAATGGCACAAGAATATTGATAGCAACATTAACGTAATATAACATAATGGCAAAAAAACTGGAAACAAACCAATGCTGAGTGTATTCATTTCACCATTATAATTGTTACTATGGATTATTTCCTATGAAATATCACATATTTTTATATACACATCTTTGTATGTTTAATATATTGCACAATAAAAGCTAAATAAAAATGTGATCAATTGCAGCAAATGCTGTTGACAAGTCAACCAGTATGAGGACTAAAAACTGACATCTGGATCTGGCCATGAAGTGCTGGGGTAAATGAGGTCTATCAAAAACTATCTGTAAGCAGAAATCTTCAAGAATGAAAACAACTTTTTAATTTTATTTTGGAAGAAGGATACAGAAAAGCAAGTCTATTAATCTTATTAGTGAAAATAAGCTTCCCATACCTAGCTAGCACCATATATTTTTCTAGGGGAAATGATTTTTTTAGAAGAGAGGACAAAATTATTTCCCTTAAAAACTCTTCATATGCACGTCATCATGTGAAAGGACACATATAAAAGTGAAAGTTTAAGTCATGGGGCAATTCAGGTTGTTTCTGAGTGTTAAAAGAAGGGCTATTAATAATTTTGCTGGACAGTGGCATAAAATATGCTTGTTCCGGGTAAACTGATCCATATGGTTTTCCCGTTAATAAGCCAAATTCTGTTTAGGGCGCCCGTATGGTTTCAGCAAGAATGGAATACAGGATCCTCAGGAAAAATAAAAAGGATCCTTAAACTCAGCCCTGTCAAACTTCACCAAGATTCTACTCCGGCATGAAAACTACAGTGGTTAATGACAGGTCTAAAATAATACTTACTCAGTGCATGGTACACAGGTTTATGTAATCCCTGAAGTCTTATTGATGCCATAGCGGCAAGTTTGCCAGGTGGCTGCATTTTCCCATCTAAGAGATACCATATTCTAGCAAAAGTGGCCCATTGCTTGGGGAAAAAAAAAAAAAAGAGGAAAAAATAAAGATAGTTGTCATTAAAATGGAAATACAGTAATTAAATTTATTATATAATATCACATGTTTTCTACAATTAATGTCAATTTCTTTGAAAAATAACTCTATTGCTAAAGAATTTTTGTTTTCATTTCTATTTCTGGAAAAGAGGTTTTTTTTTTTTTCTAATCATTCTGCAAAGACAAACACAGTAATTATTCCTGCCTGGTTTCCTGTTAGCAATATGACTTATGTTTTGCTATAAATATCCCAAAGATATATTTCTCTTTACATTATGACTTTTTTTTTTTTTTTTTTTTTTGTATAACACATAATAGAATCTGGAAGGGCAATGAGAAGCTTGTAGGAAAGCAGAAGCTGTTTATGAAGGTCTTCAAAAACATTTACAGATTAGTAGGTACATTATATTTAAAGCTGAGTGGCCAATTGGAAACTGAAGATGATTCGGAAGTTCAGTTCCTGGGGAGAGTAAAATAGAACAGTGTAGTCGGGAAAGTACAGATGGATGATGTGGAATAAATTTCAACTTTAAAAAGTTGCCTGAAATAGTTATCTTTAGGTTACCTCAGGAATAGACCATTGTTTTTACAGTCGTCACCAATGTATTCAAATTCTTAAAAACTCTAGGCCAGAAAGATCTCCACCAGTTGCTTTCGCTATGCATATACACGAGAGGCTAAACAATGCTGGAAAAATAAAACGAGGCTAGCTGGTTTTATTTTAAATTACTTATCACAACTTCAAACTAATCTACATATAAGAAAAAGGCCAGTTTTTGTCCTCATCCATTGTAGACAAATAGTTTGATACTTTGACAGAAAAAAAAAACCAAAAAACTTTAATGAAAAAAATACAAATGCTGGACGATGTCAAATTGCTAAAAAAGTTTTTAAAAGTTTTATTTTACTTCCTGTATTTATCTCATCACAGACAGGCAACAAACAGTCCACGGAAGGAACCACACTTGGAGCGGCACTGGGTTAAGAGTCATCTTAGACCCATATAACCCAAACTAACTCCTATTCTTCCACCTGAAACCTGGTTCAATCTCAGCCTTCCCTATCTCAGTTGATGACACACCCTCCAGTTGTACAAACCAAAAATCCTTGGGGGTAATCCTTGTTTCTTCTTTTGCTGTTGGCCTATATTCAATCTTCAGGAAGTCCTATTGACTCCACCTTCAAACAAAACCTGACCACTTTCAATACACTCCACAGGATTTCCAGCGTGGTCTCTGCACCATCACGTCTCGCCTGGATTACTGTAATACCCTCCAAACATATTCTTTGCTTCTGTCCTCTACTAACCTCTATTTCTGAACAGTCTATTCTCAACCCAGCAGTCAGAGTGCTCCTTTTGACACCAGGTCAGATCACGTTACCCCTTGGATCAAAACCCTCCAATAGGTCCCCATTTTACTCAGTAAAAAACCAAAATATTACAACGGCCTACAGTGTCCTATGTGATCCACCTTATTACCTCTCCGACCTGCTCTCCTAATCCTCTTTCCCCCGCCCCACTCCCCAAAAAAAGGGCAGATTGAAAAGAAGAGGGGACGAGTAACAAACGAACGACATTAAGTGCTTGCCAGACTGACGACCCTCTTGTGCTTTAGCCGAGGGTCTCGGCTTCCCTGTCGCCCCAGCTTCACTACTTAATCTGCCGGAACCAACGCTCTCCTTCTGCCAGTATAATGAACCCCATCAAGCCACAAGAGTCCGAGCTCACCTGGGGCGCCCTAGAGAAACTAGACATGTTTCCCCACTAGCAAGACCGTCCGTCCTTCTCTTAGTAGCCAAGCTGGGTGACGCAGCCTTACTGGCCCGGCGGGAAACGCTAACATCCAAGCAGCACAGTTCCTAGCCCGTCCAGCACTTGTCGGCTTCTCCCTCTTCCTCGAGTTTCTTCCAGTCTTCCCCACGGCAGCAATTTCGTCATGAAAGGAGCAGATAATGCAGTTATTTAGGGAGTAACTCCCGAAAATAACTCGTTTGCTGGAAAACTGTGGAAACCCGACGGAGGACACAATTTCCAGCCGACCTAAATGAAGGGAACAGGAAGTGCGTCATAGCGCGCGTCTGTTTGGATGTGGGAGGCGATACCTGAAACTGGGGGGTGATCTCTGAGGAGATGGATCGGTACCTGCTGCTGGTGATCTGGGGGGAAGGAAAATTCCCGTCGGCGGCCAGTAGGGAGGCAGAACATGGGCCAGAGGTGTCGTCGGGTGAGGGTACTGAGAAGCAGCCGGGTAAGCGCTGGGATGAGAAAGGGCGGGAACGGCTTGTGGAGCGGGGAAGAAGTTTGAGTTTGTGATAAAGTTCTGCTGGAGAGGGATCAATATGTAGTTGTCCCACGAAGCTGGGACTCTATCTGGGATAGAGTTAATGAGGGCTGCAAAAATAGCATCTTCATGGAAAAACAGGGACAAATTTGTGGATGCAAGATTCCAGCCCTTAGAAGTTCTTGGCATAGTAAATATTTAACTTAATAAATTTTCTATGCCTTAGTAATGGAATTTCCTGGTTTTTGGATATATATATGCATTTATTATTTCTGCCCCTGTGTTTCACATGCAGATAATACAGACAGGAACAAGATGGAGAAATATCTTGCTGTACTAGAATTTACGTCTAATGGGAGGAGATATCCCACATATAAACTAAGTTTTAAAAACAAATGATGAATTTTAAATGATTTTAATTGTTTGCGATTGCACTGCTTTTTGGTGCACCCGCCTAGATTCAATATTGCATTCTATGTATTCATTTGTTTCGATCGAACAAGCATTTTGAGGAGTAGATGTATGTGGTTGTGTATAAGATATTGTGACAGAATTTCCCTTCTCTTTAAAGTTATTCTTTTGAGGGGAATTTTGCATTTGTGCTAACTGGCTGGCAGGTACAGATCGGGAGCCTTTTCTATTTTCTCTGCTTGCTTTAGATTTACTGTATCAAAACTTGAACAGATCTTGAGTAGCGTGTAGTACTTTTATGTACAACGTACTGGTCTTGACAGCCTCTGATGGTGAAACTGGAGTAAGTTAGATTATGTAAGTCTGGCGCCCTTTGACTTATTCTGTCTTTTCTTTTTCAGACTTCACTGCAGCAAATGTTTATCACCTCTTGAAAAAAAGCATTAGTGCTTCAATTAATCCAGAAGATAGTACTTTCCCTGGCAAGTATAATAAACTCTTTTCTCTGGCACAGCATTTGTACTGGAAATTAACTTAATTAATTTGGACCCTAAGGAATACAAGGAAATACTTTACTGTGTACAAGGCACTGAGTTACAGAGGTAACTGAAGGAGTACAAAACTGAATAATAGATTACTCCTTTCTTCTTGATGCTTGAGTATAATAAAGTTATGAAAAGTATTCTAGGTTCTCAGCTTGAGTTTTGCTTCTTTTATGAAATTTTCTTGCCTATCTTAGTTCTGTATAAGTAAGGGGAATGTGGCTTTATGAGGATGGTTTTATCCTAAGTAAAAATATGTAAATAATGCTCCCACACTGATTTCCTTACCATTTATTTATTTCTGTTCTTAGCTGTTACTGATTCTCTTAACAGTACTTAATAATTACTAAACACAATCACTTCTTATCTGCTTTGACTTTTTGAAGTATTTTGCTTTTTTGACCAACCTTTACTTTGTAAAAATCTTTCCTCCTTTAGCTTCTATTGGCATTATACAAATGCATTTACTGACTTTGATAGTTATCTTTTTTTTTTATTCCCTCTTCTTGTCCTTTACTGGAGAATGTCCTTTAAACGTGCTGAAAATGGAGATGCCAAAACAGACCAATACCTAAAAACTGAAGGAAGTTTCTGTCGGTGCAAGGAAGGGTCTGCTCCTTTTGATAAATTTGTAGTTCCTGTGACTGTACAATCTGCACCTTTCTCTTCTTTCATTAGAGAACTTCTTGTCTCTTGGTGTCAGCTAATACTGTTGGGGAATGATTTCTAATATGTGTATGTTGCCCTAGCCTGTTTTCCAAGGCCTAGTAGTACTCATTAATTTTCAAGTTGGTATAATTTTAGTCAATACTACTATTATTGCAGGAAAGATTTTCTTTCATTTGCACCTCAGATGTATATGTAAAAGAGCTCTTGGGAGTATTCTAGAGGTTCTCATGATAAATTTTACTTTCCGCTTGTGTATTTAGGAGTTTCTTATACACACGGTCCTTGTTTTGCATGGTAGTGTGGTACTTTATAATTGATTGTGCAAAGCAATCTTAATATAATAATCAGTGAGAAAAATTAGAATTGTCCCATGACCTTTATATCTTTAATATCTTTTGTCAAAACATTAAAAATTCTCTTACTGTTATAAAATTTTAAGGAAGCAAAAAAATAGTAAAAATAAAATTTATTTTGTACAGTGTAATTTAAAACCTTAGAAACATTGAGAATTAAAGTGTTTTATTTCTTTGTAAAAGCCTTATCAAGAGTAGCTTGAACAGTGCTTGCCACCTTCTCATCATCACGTAACTTACGATACAGAATTAACATCTTTTCTTTTATTGGCGAATTATCATATTCCAGTTGTATCAACTTCCAATGTTTTATTCTTCAATTTTTTTTCTTTTTTTGAGACAGAGTCCCACTTTGTTGCTCAGGCTGGAGTCCAGTGACCCAATCATGGTTTACTGCAGCCTCAACCTCTCCAGCTCAAGTGATCCTCCTACCTTAGCCTCCTGAGTAGCAGGGATTGTAGGCATGAGCCACCACACCTGGCTAATTTTTTAACTTTTTGTAGAGGCAGAGTTTCATTATGTTGCCCAGGCTGGTCTTGAACACCTGGGCTCAAGTAATCCACCTGTGTTGGCCTCCCAAAGTGCTGGGATTACGGATGTGAGCCACTGTGCCCGACCTGGACTTTCACTATTGTGAAATATGTCTGAGTTCCTTTAATGTTAAGGTTTTTGCTAGCATCATTTTCTCTGGGACATCGTCACCTTTTTCATCAAAAGGTGTTTGTCACAGCAGTATTTTTAGAATTCTATTTACATTAGTTTGAAGATCGCTTTCAGTGTTAGCACTTTTTATTTCTTTGGTGTTTCTTTATCTCTCTCTTTTTAAAAAATTCCCTCATCCATTTATCCACGTTTCTAAAATATCACATGGATTTACACTGGGAAACCGGGAGGCAATACAATTACATCCTTTGCTACCTGTGTGTGAACTGACTGGCACTTGTGCAGTAACCAATCAGTGACATACTTTAAAAGCAGTAACATGATTGGTTACTGATCATGACACACATCTTTTATGTATACAGTGGTTTTGTAGACTGAGAAGCTTGTAATGAAGTCTTAAACTATGCAATTATAGTTAATTAATACACTATGGTGACTGAAATTTAAACCAGGTTGTTGGGGAACTGGTGTTATTTAAGCTATAGTAACTGGAATTTGTGCATATCAGAGCCGTAAGAGTAGAAACTGCCTGCACTGAATTTCCTGCATACTAGGATTTTTGATTTCAGTAATATGGCAAGTTTGAGGGACGGAAAGTACATTATGATTATAATTGGGATAAGGGTGGAGAAGTAGGCGTGGCTATTTAGAGGATTTTGTAAATAGTTTCAAGGTGTTTGGATTTTTTCCTAATGGTAATCAGTAGCCATTAAATGTGTTAATTAAGGAAGAGACATGATCAGATCTGTGCTTTTGAAGTATTCTCCCTGAAGTATAGTAGATGGATTAGAGAAAAGTATAGCTATTTCTGTATAGGGGGATTCTGTAGAAGACCAAATGAGGAATGGGAGAGGCAGCCAGGGTGGAGGAAAATGGATAGATCTGAAGGAAATTATGGGGGTGGAATTCACCTACCTTAGCGTTGAATTGGTATGATGTAGAAGAAGGGAAGGATGAGAAAATAATCAAGGGTGACATTAGGTTTCTGGCATAGGTAACAGCATGATGGTGGCATTTAGTGAGAAAGGAGAAATAGATTTGGAGGGAATATGACATGTTCAATTTGGAACCTGTTAATAGTTGCCTGTAAGATGTCAAAGTAAAAAGTAAAAATGTAAAAATGTTTTATGTGTTTACAATGTAAAAATAAAAAAGTAAAAATGTTTTATAAAAGTTGGATAAGTGTGTCTGGAACTAAAAATGTAGGAGAGAGCTGGAGATATTCGGTTGTTGCAAAAATAATGGCAAAAAAAAAAAAAGCAATTATTTTGCACCAGTTAATATAAAGTATAGAACTCATGTATAGATGTCAGGTGAAACCATGAGAAATGATGGGATTGCTTATGGATAGCAGGAAGAACAGAAAGTCTCAAACTGAATCCCAGTATTTAGAGGAACTGAACACCAGTTTTTAAAAAGAATAAGGAGGAGCCAGAAAAGATGGGTGCCACAGAAGCCAAGTGTTTTAAAGAGAAAGTAGTCAAATACGTCATCTTTTATTTTTCTCTTATGCTGAGAGGTCAAATAACAATAGCACTAAAAACTGCTAGATTTAGTAACAAGTCAGTTATTGGTGACTTTGATGCCTGTTCTTTCAGTGGCATATTGGAGACAAAAAACAGATTGAAATACATGTGGAAGGAAGTGGAAAAGTTGATGAGGAAATGGAGACAGTCAGGTGTGGACAGCACCTTCAGAAGTTTATCTTTGAGGAAGAGCTATGAAAGTGAAGTGGAGATGAATTTAAAGGGACCCCTTTTTAAAAAAAGAAATACTTTGAGAAACACTTGTGTGTATTTAAATGGCAATGACAAAGAACAGACAGAAGGGAGCAGAGTGAAATGCAGGAAAGATAGTCAGTGAACTAGATAATAGAATCAGTGGTCTCAGGAGGTTTGGGGGGTAACATTGAATTAGAAGGACAGTGCCTCTTACACGTTAAAGGGGAGGAAAGAGGAAAGACTTAATGGGAGTACAAGTTGAGTTGTATGTTTCCTGAGAGGATGTTATTGGAATTATTACCTGATAGTTTCTATTTTGTTAAGGTGGTAGGAGTCTTCTGCTGAGATTGTTGGAAGAAAGTGGTAATAAGAATTTAGCATTTTACCTCGCTTCCTTCCATTAGTTAAGCCTCAGTTACTACTTTTCTTCTTCCTTTTTTGAGTCCAATTTCTATACATAGCTCTAAATTCTTTGTGACTCCTTGGCACATACCCTGGGGTGACCCTTAATTTTATATCCTCATATAATACTCCGTTCTCCAAGAAGAGCATCTTTGTTATCTTTAGGCTGGGGTTGCTCTTTAACGCCTCTGTCTCTAGTTGGGCTGAACCAACCTGCGTGGTCTTTGGAGAAGGAATTGTTTTCACTAAAATGACTTACATGGTTTTGTGTTACTCGGTGGTAATTGAGTAGCTGTATTTTCAGTATCTTTATGGTAGATTGTAATCTGTGTGAAATGATGATTAAAATAATAAAAAATAATAATATGGATTTTGAATTGTGACAAACGAAAACCAAGTATTTATTGTGAGTAAAGAATTTTGCTCTTGAGGTAGATTATTCTATTTGAATTTTTAGCAGAGATTTTTAAAAGATCCACATATATATGTTGGATAAATATGTAATATGTTCCAAAAATATGGTCTCTAAATACGGTATATATGCTGTGTCATCTGCTTATTTATGGTATGCCTTTCTAATAAGAAGTGTGATTTTATTTTCAAGCCTGTTCAGTGGGTGGTGTACCTGGTTCCAAGAAGTGGTTCTTTGCAGTGCAGGCAATATATGGATTTTATCAGGTAATATAAATTAAAAAATAGCTATTAGTGAATGTCTGTACTAATATAAATAATTTCATGATCCATTATTTAATACAATCTTTTGATTTATTAGTTTTGTAGTTCTGATTGGCAAGAGATACATTTTGATACAGAAAAAGATAAAATTGAAGATGTTCTTCAAACAAATATCGAAGAATGTTTGAGTGCTGTTGAGTGTTTTGAAGAAGAAGATAGTAATAGCAGGGAATCATTATCCTTGGCTGAGTATGCTTATATGTTTTTTGTATTATCATTAAAATACTTAATATTAGACAGTTATTTTAATCCATGAGAATGAAGATTATATATTTTAGCATCTTTACTGAAGAAATTCTAGTTAATTGAAATTTTCGACTCTTCACTTTGGAAGACATAAGGCAATTTGGGCCTTTTATTTGAATAACATTCTTTAAAATGCATGTTTCTTAAGCTTACATAATGTCAAGAATCATAAAAAGTCATATTTTAATTGACATGTTACTTTCTTGAAGATAAATTCTGCCTAATATTTTATTTTTGAAACAGGATCTTGCTCTGTCACCCAGGCTGCAGTGCAGTGTTGCAGTCCTGGCTCCCTGCAGCCTTGACCTTCTGGGCTCAAGCTATCCTCTGACCTCAGCTGCCAGAGTAGCTGGAACTATAGGTGTGCACCACCACACCCAGCTAATTTTTGTATTTTTTTTTTTTTTTTAGAGATATTGTTTCGCCATGTTGCTCAGACTGGTCTGAAATTCCTGAGCTCAAGCAATCTGCCTGCCTTGGCCTCCCAAAGTGCTGGGAGTACAGCTGTGAGCCACCGTGCCTGGCCAATAATGTATTTTAAAAGCTTGAATAGAAATGTTATTTAATGTTAATAGCTAGCATTCATACCAAAGTATCATTTTCATTTTGCTATTTGAGGCCGAAATATGTGACTTCTTTAATTTATGGGTATTTGCAGCATTTCAGGTACCTTTTAAAATCCATAAAGAGTTTGTGAGGATTATATATACATGACTGAGTTCACGTTTAGGTTTTTTTGAATTGTGGTACAATATGTAAGTTGATCCAGGTGACATAAGTTGTGATAGTAATTTTTCTCTTTCTGAAATATCCCTCCTCTTATAATTAATACCTCTTATTTTAGTCCTTCATGACATTTCATGACAAAACTGCTCTTATTGTAGTAGTCACATATTATATCTGTAAGTAGCTGTAGACTTAAAAAATTTCATTTTCCTTTTTCCAGATCATATTTGTTTGTTCTGATTAATAAAAGGAGACCTTTCAGAACCAGAGAAATATCACTGAACCAAGGAGGTAGACTTTATTTACACAATCTTAGGCCGGTCATGTAACTTCTCTGGTCCTTTATTTTCTCATCTGTAAAGTATTGAAGTACTTTTAGGAGATTTCTCAGGTGCTTTCATTTACCCTTAAAAACTCGTATCATGCCATATGTTTTCCTACCACTATTAAAGTATAAACGTTTCTGGTAAGTGACCTAATAATTATTTCCACAAGAGGGAGCCTGAAAACTAGAGTTTACGTAAGATGCCTTAAGTTTCTAAGATGATGGTGGGTTTATAATAAAGGATTTAAGTACCTTTATGCTATATAATAAAAAATTGTATCATATAGATAAAACTAATCCATTTTGAAGGATCTGAGGAGGGCATCATATTCTTTAGTCAAGACTATTAAATACCATTCAGAGAAAAATCATGTCCTTTTTTATTAAATACTTAGCATTTTCTTTTAAGATTCAGAAAAATGGCTAGGTGCAGTGGCTCATGCCTGTAATGCCAGCACTTTGGGAGGCTGAGGCAGGCGGATGACTTGAGCCCAGGAGTTTGGGACTAGCCTGGGTACCACGGCAGAACCCTGTATCTACAAAAAATAAAAAAATTAGCCAGGCATGGTGGCGTTGCCTGTAGTCCCAGCTATCCCAACTATGCAGGAGGCTGAGGTGGGAGGATCACCTGAGCCTGTAGGATTGAGGCTGCAGTGAGCTGTGATCATGCCACTGCACTCCAGACTGGGTGACAGAGTGAGACCCTGTCTCAAAAAAATCCCCAAAACCAAAAATAAATAAATAAATGAAAGATTCCAAAAAAAGTTTGGTCTGTTATGATTTATATTTAATATGCTAGTTATAATTTAGGGAGTTTTATTCCCTTTGTTTGTTCGTTTTTGGGGTGTAGGTAAGAACTTGTACTCAGGGTTTGAATCCTAGCTTCTGTACACACTAATTATGTAACTTTAGGCAAGTTATTTAAAGTGGAGATAATAATAGTATTATAGTAGTACCTCCTGGAATTGTCATAAAGATAAAATGAGATTATACATCTAACCTGTTTGTGTCTGTGCAACAATCTTTTTAGTTAATAGTACCTATTATGATTATATATAAATGTATTTGTGGGTTTTTTTTCCCCTAACTTACCCTTTTATTTTAGTCTCTATGAAGAAGCTGCAGAAAATTTGCATCAGTTATCAGACAAGCTTCCTGCTCCTGGTAATATTTTATGACTGCTTTCAATAATTTGTATCTTATCTTATTACACTTTTTATGAATAAGTGATAAATTCATTCTTTATGTTAGTGTTCTCACTTTAATCTTTAAATTAAAAATTGCAAAACAATTTATAATTGAAGTTGATACAGAATGTACTCCATTAGAGTACATTACTGAGATGTAGCAGTTCTTTTCATTGTTTTAGTTAGGTGAAAATTAAATAACTATCTCTGTTTAGTTATTACTGAAGAAGAATCTTTCTACTACAGACTGTTGTTTTTCAGAGTATGTTCTGTAGAAGACTAATCCTATAAACAGCTCTTTAAAAAAGAGATTATTTAACCTTGATAATTTGGATAACATTCTTTTATGGTGAAGTTACTATATGCATTATCAAATGGAATGTCATACCATAAAAGAAGGCGTTTCCTCAGCTGTTTTTGATATTTTTTTTCCCATAGTGGAAAGAATATTTTGTGAAATACTGTATCATAATATTCCTAAAATTGTTTTTTGCTTTTTTCCTTTGTGTTAATCAAGTAGCTGTCATCTAATATTTGGTACAGTTGGCATCCACAAATACTTTGAAGAGTATTCTTTTCTGAATACTTTGTTTATTGAAGGTCATTATTAAGTAAATATTTGTACTAGGAGCCAGGTGTGCCATGATGAATAGAGCATCTGTGATTAACATAAAGAAGCTTATAGCTTGTAGTCAGTCTGATCTCGTATTCAAGGAGATCATATATTAGTACAAAAAGCCCCACATAGAAAAATAACTGAATGAGTTGACCAACACATCAACTTTTAAAATGAAATGTGTTGAGTTCAAAGGATGCACTGAAATATTACATAGTTGTCTTGGCAAATTAGAATACTTTCATTATCAAATTTAGCTCCAGTTTGTTTCATTTTGATTTTTGTAGTCCTTCAGGAAATTTATAATTTTATAAAATTTAAAGTTTTGTGAAGTTATTGTTTTTCAGGATCCAGTGATGATGTCAGTGTAATTGGTTTTCTGAGTGTTTTATTGTCCTTTATAAAAGAGACATCATTTATTTGAATATTATAGTTTTGCACTAATTCATTCTCTTTTGGATAACAAAATTATGTTTAGAAAAATATAATGAAATTGCACAGGTTTTTTTTCTTTGTTGAGTACAATAGCATTGATGATCTTAAGAGCAATGTGTGTAATTAGCCACTGCTGCAGAATTGGCAAGTAGTTATAATATATTTTATTGTTTTCTAGTATATGCTAACTATTTCAAGATAACATGGCTATAAATCAAATGATGAACATTTAAAAAGTTTGAATTCTTAAGGACGTGTATTGTTTCGAAGAATTTCAGAAATTAAAATCTTCCTTTGTCTTCTAAATAAATATAAAATTCATTTTTCTAAATAAACATAAAATTCAGTTGTTCAAGGTACTATTTTGAGACATTTCAGATCTAACTTTTTAAAAATTACAAAAATGCCTTTTTCTCTTTCTAGGTAGAGCAATGGTAGATATAATATTATTGCCTTCTGACAGAGATCCTCCTAAATTGAAAGACTGTTTACCTACTGTAGGAGCATTAAAACATTTGACAGAATGGTATTCAGCAAAGATCACTATAGCAGGAAATCATTGTGAAATGTAAGCTTCTCTTCATATTTGATTATTGTCTGTGTTGCATTGTCTGTTTTCACAATTAACATACTATTCTGTTTTCACACTCAGCATTTGAAAATTATTTTAATGTGACAAGATAAAATTGTATGTTATACCATGATTGCACATTTGTGTATTGAGAAGAATCTAGATGTTTCATATTTTATATTTATGTTTCTGAAATATTTAAGTGTTTAGTAAATATTGATGCTGTTTTACAACCATTACTGAGGATTAATTCTATAAGCACACTGTATGCTTTTGAACATAGATACACTGGATTTGTCATGTTGTATTTGGTTTTCTGTTATGTGCCAATGTATGAATAAATATACACTGTTGTATTTTATGATATTTTAGCAAGGATTAATTGTATATTACAATTTTGATCCTTAAATAAGCATTCAATTGGATTTAATAACTTCATGATTTGTTTTCATTCAATGAATGTTTATTGAGCAATACCTTTATGGCAAGCATAGCAATAGATGCTGGTAAGTTAAGAAAGTGAGAAGACGTGATCTTTTTCATTGAAGTGCAGCGAGAAACAGGAATGCTAACAGTCAAGATAGTCTGTGATAGGTGCTGTTATAGAATTCCATACAAAGCTGTTTGGGGACAATATAGGAGAGCAGTTCTCTTTTTGAAGATAGGGAAGTGACATTGTGCCTGTGTGTGTGTACATCTGACACCTTTAAGCCAATAGTAAGAGGAAAGTCTATTTCTTCCTCCTTAGTACTAAAGATAATTACTCTAAATTTGTGAGGATGTTGGGACTAAATGAACATGTGACAGCAATTCACTTAGAGACTGACTTGAAGGGTGTTTCATATTAGTAGGAAAAATACAGCAATATAAATTTTGCAATTTTGCCTCTTAGGCTTGTAGTTAACTATAATGATTAAATCAGTGAAATATAAAACCCTGTGTTTAATTGTTGCAATCTTTTTTTTATAGAAACTGTCAGAAAATTGCAGAATACCTTTCTGCTAATGTTGTATCTTTAGAAGATCTCAGAAATGTTGTTGACTCAAAGGAATTATGGAGGGGAAAAATACAGATATGGGAAAGAAAGGTAAATGGATTATTCACAATTTGCCAAGCGGGCCTTTCAATTTTATTTACAACACAGATATTTAAATAAATCTTAACGAAAATATACCTTATAAAGATATTCTAGACTAGCACTATCTAAGTAGACTTTCTGCAATAATGGAAATGTTCTATATCTATGCTAATACAGTAGCCTACAAACCACTTATTACTACTGAACACTTTATATGTGAGTAGTTCCACTGATGAACTGAATTTTTATTTGATTTTAATTTACTTTAATTTAATCATAATAATGTGATTATGTTTTGAGTGCTGAATGTAACGTTCCTTTAAACCATAGAATTTGACATTAATCGAGTTCATGTTGTTTATCCAAATTGCTTTATTTTATTGCATGTGTAAACTACTAGAAAAATTGCTTAGAGCATATTGTCTTCCCATAATACTACCTTAGGTGATCTTTGCTGTTTACTAACCAGCCCTCAGATTTTGCACAAATTTTTTTACCCTTACTGGACCCCAGATTTCTCAATTGTAAGATGAGAATGTTGTATTAGGTGGACTCTTCTAATCCTGAATTTCTATGAAGTTTCTATTTCATTTTGACGTCTCTTACTATGAAAGAATGTTTGTGGGTTTTGTAAGTTGTGTCCATTTTGAAATAAGTGTTCATAGTAATTTATGTATTTTTGTAAATAGGCAAAACTAACTAAGAAAGTTTCTTAATGTTTGTGTAGGGTAGCATGGGAGCATGAGTAGGCTTTTGAGTTCCTCTAAAGTTTTGCTACACTAATTACTACACATTTTTTTCTTTTTTAATTCACCCTTAGTAATGGTTTAATAAAATCTCTGATTAGACAACAGGAATCAATGTGGCTGGATTTGTCTTGTTGATTTGCATGTTTGCTCATCCTGAATCTCAGAGAGGTTAAATCTGCAGGTGAACTCTCTCTGCAAGTGTTTTGATATTAAAAAAAAAAAACCCCACATAGGCTGGGCGCGGTGGGTGGCTCACGCCTGTAATCCCAGCCCTTTGGGATGCCAAGGCGGGCACATCAAGAGGTCAGGAGATCAAGACAATCCTGGCTAACACGGTGAAACCCCATCTCTACTAAAAATACAAAAAATTAGCCGGGCATGGTGGCAGGCACCTGTAGTGCCAGCTACTCAGGGGGCTGAGGCAAGAGAATGGTGTGATCCTGGGAGGCGGAGGTTGCAGTGAGCTGAAATCGTGCCACTGCACTCCAGCCTGGGCGACAGAACAAGACTCCATCTCAAAAAAAACCCCAATAAACAACAAAAAACCCCACATAGCCAAGTGGAAGAGTGGAAGATACAGTTTGCTAGAATTGCTTTTGTATTATTTCTGAAACTGCATGTTTACATACAAGAGAGATAATAGAGTTATTTTCATGAGATTCTTTTGTTCTCCTGAATAGGAAATTAAATGTCCATAAATTAAATACATAAATTACTATGAACACTTATTTCAAAATGGACATGACTTACACAACCCACAAACATTCGTTTATAGTAAGAGATGTCAAAATGAAATAGAAACTTCATAGAAATTCAGGATTAGAAGAGCCCACCTAATACAACATCCACGTAATACAAGCATTTAAAACTTGAAATCACTTTTTTTGATAGAGAACAGCTTTTTAGGCATTATGGTGATTAAGGACATAGATTCTAGAGTTATATTGCCTACAATCAAATCCCAACTCTTTTTTTTTCTAGTTTAGCGTAGCCTGATGTGTAATGCTTAGCCTCTTAGAGGTGCTGCATTTGTCTTTGTCTGTAAGATGATGATAATACTTCCTATCTCATAGATTTTTGTGAGGATTAAATTATTCAAAGCACAGAGTAACCACTCAGTAAGCGTTAGCTATCACTATTGTTGTGGCTACCATTACTATTATTAGCATCCTTGCTATTACTACTTCTGCAGTAATTGATCTTATCAGCAACATTTATCAAAGACAAACTATGTGAGACACTGTACTGAGGATCTAGTAAGGAATAAGATAGAGCCAGGTGTGGTTGCTCACGCCTGTAATCCCAGCACTTTGGGAGGCCGAGGTGAGTGGATCACCCAAGGTCAGGAGTTCAAGACCAACCTGACCAACATGGTGAAACCCTGTCTCTACTAAAAATGCTAAAAATTAGCTGAGCATGGTGGCAGGTCCCTATAATCCCAACTACTCAGGAGGCTGAGGCAGGAGAATCACTTGAACCCAGGAGGTGGAGATTACAGTTAGGCAAGATCGTGCCACTGTACTCCACCCTGGGCCACAAGAGTGAAACTCCGTCTCAAAGCCAAACAAAAAACAAAAAACAAAAAAAAAACAAAAGGAACAAGACAGACAGCTTCTGTCTTTGCATAACTTACAGACTGGTAGGAAGCCAGATATTGAACAATGCAAAGGAGGTTGTTTGGTCCTGTCGCTGCGTAGAATGAGCTTAACATACTGTTGCCAGCTGGTAAAGAGCCAATGAGAGCTTTTCATGAAAAACTGAAAAATCAATGTGTAAGTTAAAATAGGATGTATACCTAAATGTAAGAAGCACACTTTTGAGCTGAGGACTCAAAAATAAACTTACACATGGGTTTCCCCTCAACTTTTACATTGTAATAAGATGTATTAATCTTATAGCATTGTTCATGATACTTGTAACTGTGTTTTCTTGGTCTCTTTTCAGTTTGGATTTGAAATTAGTTTTCCTGAATTTTGTTTAAAGGGAGTCACACCTGAGAATTTTAGTACATCTAACTTAAATGCTGACTTCCTTGCCAAAAAGATAATACCGTCAAAGGATAAGAATATTTTGCCAAAGGTAATTGTGTTTAATTTTTTTGTGTGATCATTCATGTGTATTTTTGTTCCTATAAAATATGTTTGAATCTTGAATTAATATTACTAATATATGTGCTTAAGTGTGCTCACTAGCATAATTTTTAATATGATTAAGTACTTAAGTTATACTGTGTCATCAGCATTAAATTTTGGTGATATTGTCATTGTTTTAGATGTTTAAAGATATGTAATGGTACTAAATGAGTGTAGTCCTGAAACCACCTTTGGTTTGGACTTTACTATGTGACCTTTCTAAGACTCAGTTTGGAGAGAATATGACGTAGTGAGAAGAGGGTATGTTTTGGTGTTAGGTAAACATGGGTTTGGAACCTGACTGTGTCACCTGTAAGTTGTTGTTTATAACCTTGGGTAGATTGATTAACCCATTTGTGAAGTGGAGGCAGTAGTAACACACGTATCTTACAAAGTTATGAGGATTATATGAGGTAAGAGTTTAATATCTGGCATAGTACCTGACATATGCTTAACTTACAGTATAAGAAGTATCAATTCTTGCCCCATATCTTCTATACATTTGTTCTTAAAATGCAAGTAATTATAAAATATAATAATTAGGAAAAGGTTTAGTTGGCTTTTTAACATTGGAAAAATAACATAAGAAGAGATATTTATATGAAGGTATCTTAGAATTCACTTTAAAAGAACTAATTTAAGAACGTGGAAATCTGTGGTCATGAAGTTAAAAAGATGTCAGATTGATGGTTAATATTTTCTAATCAAAGGGTGGTACAAACAGAGTATAATTTCTGATTTGAACTCATTTCTCCATATTTGTTTAGAATTGCTTACTTTAAGTAACTGGCCATCTTTCACAGGAATATTAAATTCTTTTCTAAAGATTAGAATAGAAAGATTCATGACCTCAACTTTTCTTCAAGTATGAATAATGTATCCGAATTTTTGCTACTGTTGAAGAGAATCTTAGGGTACAACTTCTTCAATAATGTAAAATTCATATTCTCTCTCTGTATATGTATAGACACACACACTGTATAGACATATATGTTTAGGGATATATATACACATAATCATATATGGTGAAATTACTCCACTTTTTACAAGTCTAAAACTTTGTGTAACTTCTTCAAGAAGTGTGCTCTTTTCTTTGCCTTTCATGTGAAACACTATAGCTCCAACTGTTGAAATAGCAGCCCTTCAATAACAAATTCTAATTTAGTTTTAGGCTTTACCCAAGAAATACAGTACTGAAATTTTATTTTTTCTGAATGGAGCTTTCTATGTTAATTGGCACATGTTGGCTTCACTATCTCTGTAATTTATTTAGTCTTTGTGCTAGAATTTTTTTTTTTTTTAGTGTCAGTGTACCACTCAACCTAAGTTCATCCTGGAGTGTCTTTTCTTTCACTTTTTTAGTTTACAGATTCCACCTGCAGAGGTAGGTTGCTAATTTATTTCTTCAACACTATAGCCTATTGTATCACCTGTCTGTCTTGTTGAAGATAAACAGCAAAAGTTGAGAACTGTTGTCCTCTGTTGCTTACCTCCTCCCATACTTACTTTCTCCTGTGAAAGCTCTTCCTGGTTACTACGTGATCTCCATGTCTGTTTCTGTACCCTGAAAGGTAGAATTGAAACTGAAGAAATTCTGGTCTGCTATAGAGGATTACATACTAGGCATGCATAATGTGTATAAGTTTTTTTTTAAGATCCATTTTAAAGTTTTAAACCCTTAATCACTAATTTGTTTACTTTTGTTTATGGTATTTAAATATTACACAATTTTAACTTCTAGGTTTTCCATTATTATGGCCCTGCTTTAGAATTTGTGCAGATGATAAAATTATCAGATCTACCCTCCTGCTATATGTCGGACATTGAATTTGAGTTGTATCCTTTCATTTACATGTTCATTTTAGATTACATCTTCTGTGTCAGGTAGAATGTTCTGGTATTTTCGGGTAAATATACATGTTAGATATATATTTTTCATTATATTCATTGTTTTAATGTTGATGTTCAAGTAGGCTGCTGGACTCCTTATTGTTGGAGTTGCTGGGGAAGGAAGTTCTTGCTTTTCCCACCTCCTGGATCCTATACCTATTTTATCAGAAATCTTCCTCCCTATGCAAGCATTTTTATTTTCGTTCAGTATTGTTGAGATTTTTCTATGGATAGAGCTGTGGAAATAATACAGAAGTGATTGAGCCTTGTTTCTTTAATGCAGTTATAATGTTCTCTGCTTGAGCATAAGACTCATATACTCTCACACCTAGTCTAGCATTAACTGAAACTTTGTCCTTCCCACCCACTGCCCAGACATCACCATGTATATATTTTATGTGCTTTTGTTAACTTTACTTTTTTTTTTAATAGTTTTAATGCTTTTGGGAAATAATTTCCCTTTTCCTGAAATCCAGGAGTACATCTCCATGACTTCTGTGTTTTACTCAATATGTTTCTGCTGAAGAAGTCTGTAACTGCAATATATCATAGCATGTAGTAAGCACTCAATATTGTCAGATGAATGACTTTGGATTATGTCAGCCTAAATCAAAATACTCATTATTTTCTGATTGAAAATTCCTTGTTGCAGAAAAGATAATATTTACTAAGGCATAGGAGAACCTTACCCAGCTGAAAACTGTTTGTAGTCTAGAATCTCTAAAGAGTAGTCATTTTTTGGTTTGGGGGTGTTGAGGGCAGTTGCTAAGTAATCAGATTGGAGAGGCTTTTCAGATTAATCAGGTCCTAAAAGACCTTACATATCGTGATTGGGGTTAAATTCTATCCGAAAGAAAATGAGGAATCATACAAGGATTATAAGCCAGACAGTAGCTTAATGAGAAGTAAATTTTGGATCATGCTGGTAGGATTTTGGAAACCTGAGCAAAGCTCGAACTAAACAAGTGGCATTTGGAATGGAGAGCCAGGAAAAGTACACGATGTGTTAAAGATGTAAAATCAACACGATATCATGATTTATTTATTACATGCCGAGAAAGTGAGAAGGCCAGAGAGTGTAGTTGATTCCCTATGTTGAAACTGGTGTCACTAGTTGAGATAACATGAGATGAGCCATTTTCATAGAGGAAGAGGAGTTCAGGTTCGTGTAGTTGGAGTGGTAATGTACATTGTAGTAAAAGGTATAATAGGTAGTTTTAAAAATTTTTTATCCTTTGTACATTACTGTTGAGAACCATTTAGCCAGCATTCTACCTGGCAGTGTAACTGTAGATGTTACTTTCAGATATAATCTATTATTAATCCTTCTTTTCTCTGTCCTCATCTATTAGCAGCTTGTTGGGCAGAAGCTGTTTGACATATTTATCTTACATTAGATTCTTGCCTTAGACCAGTGGTTTTCAAACCATCTTCCAAGGAAAGTCAAGGACTCGGTTCTCTGGATAATGGGATTGAAAGATAAGTTGAGTGGGCATGGCTCTTGGCCCCCTACTACTGCAACCAGAGCAGCACCTCTTCTGCCCTAAATATTGGGTTTCCAGATAAAATGTCACTTGGAAAAAGTTTCTGCATCAAAAAGGTTTGCAAAGTGTACTGTAAACTGTTTTCATGGTACCACCCAACATTTAGATGTTTGACCGTGTTTTTACATAATATTCAGTATACTTTTTGCTACCATTATGTTAAGAAAAGTTCTACAACTTGGAAAAAAAAAATCTTCCCTCAAATACTGTATTTATGCTTTTAGAATAGGCAGAGGACTTCCTGGTATATGGTGTAGAGAGGAGGGAGAAATATTAGGAATCTGTGGGAAAAAAAAAACAAGTAATTTATATACTTAAAAAATGTGTAAATGTTTCTCCTGCCATCACCATGAAGAAACATAAGAATCAGTCAGCTGATGCATCATTTTATGTATTTAAGTAAATATAAATGGTATCGTATGTATCTGCAAATATATTCAACATATTTTAAACTCTCTTTTAAAAATATATAAGAATGTTTAGAAATACACCTAAGAACAGAACATTTTGTATAAAAAGAAATACAATTTGTATTGTATAATTGTATAATAAAAAGAAATACAATTTCTTTTTATACAAAATGTTCTGTTCTTAGGTGTATTTCATTTTGTATAAAAAGAAATGAAACACTAGCCTAGTGTTTTTGAATTTTTATTTAGAAGCTACAGTTTTTTATACATTTCTTGTTCTTATAGTTTATAGTAATGCTCTTTATAATAGCACTGTTTCTTAGCATTTAAACAATAATGCTAAACAAGGATTATCTCCCATTATAGAGGGGCAAATTATGAAGGTAAAATTCAACAATTAGTTAATTAGTCACAAAATGTTGGCCATTTCTTCTCTGAGGGCCTCTCACACCAGCACCTTCCCTTCTATTCTTTTGTCATCCTCATTTTCAAATTCTCACTTCCACACAATCAGATATTTTAGTGGGCATTTCAGTGAACACTCTGCCTCAATCAATCCAGAATTAAACAAATAAACAAATTTTTGGAATTTTCAGAATTAAACAAATAATAGGAAAAATAATTATCCTTAGGGAAAGGAGTAATTGTTAATGGCTACAGTTACATTTTTTAATAAATGAATTTAAGCAACTGTGGAAGAATTGAAATAATGAAACTTATTTCAAGGAGTACATTGTTTCACAGGTACCATTACATCATTTCTTTAACTCCTTAGTACAGAGGATTGACAAACAGTACCAAACAGAATTCTGTGTTACTGTTGGAGCAGATTTCTTCTCTGTGTAGCAAGGTATTGAGGGTTTCTTGGGGGTTTTTTGTTTGTTTGTTTTTATACTTGCCATTTAAGGATGTGTAAGAAAATGAATGTAACTTACTAATCTGTTTTCTTGATGACTTGGTTTCTTTATTGTAATATAGGATAATTTTGGTCCTAACTCGTATTAAGATACTTTGGACTTTTCATAATAACTGTAAAAGTACTCTGCAAACATAAGTGACATTTTGTTTTTAGGAGAGATTTTCAGAAATAAGCTTTATGACTGGTAATTGTTATTGTTAACCTACTTCTTCAACATGCGATTTCAATTCTATGAGAAGACATTCATATACTTGCATTCTTCATTGTAGGGCAGGGGATGAAAGTGGAAAAAGCTAAAGTTTTACTAAATTGTCATTTGGGAGTTTCCAATTTTTCTTTCTAAATTCTGATGATGTTTAGGAGATTTATGGCTATTTTAACAGTTATTTTGTATATATATAAAATGATGTAAAATTGGTATATTTTTAACTTTAAAAAAATTACAATATAAATAATTTTAAGTGGAATCATCTATTTAAAATCAAATTCAGTTTTTAGTAGGAAAAAATGAAAGTTTGCTTTTTTTCTAGTTATTTATTCAACTGTTATGTTTCTTGGAAAACAATTTTTAATGCACACAATGTTTATTGGCAATACCTACGTAACATTTTCTTATTGTTTTAATAACAAGTAGACTAGCAAATAATCCTGCAGGGAGAAAATGATTCTTATAATTATAGCAGTTTCCCCATGGTGCTATAATCAAGTCTTGGTTATAATTCCTATAGAAAATCGATATAGTAAAGGAAAAATGATTTTGACCTTAAGATGTATACTTGACTGTATACTAACTTAAAATTTTGGCTTCTAGCCTCTTTTTCTATAAATTTAATAGTCCTTTGAATAGGGCACCAAAGTATTTATTTGATGAAGTGGCCTTTACCAGTATTACCCTGGCTTTCATCCTCTAAAAATAACTAATTTGCTGAATTTTGAAATTTTAAAATGTATCTTTTATCATTTATCCAACATATATTCTATTGTGTGTGAGGTACTATACTAGATTTCAGGAACCCAGTAATGAAGTGTACAGATGACACTTCTATACTTGTGGAACTTACATTTTAGGGGACAAGCAGAAAATAAGTAACTGCAGACACAATAAGAATTATGAAGAAATAAACAGCCTGAGATAGGGAATAAGTCAAGAGACCCTACTTTAGATAGAGGTTAATAAGGCCATATATTTCTCCAGAACTATTTGCAGAGACATCTTATGAATTAGTATATATTTTTTAAGTGCACTGAGAATAAAAAATACCCTGTTTCTATTTTAATTCAGGTAGCTAAGTAGCTCTCTATATAACCCTGTCCAGTTACCTAATCTTTTGGAGCTGCTTCACTGTATGGATTGAGAATATTATTATATCATTAATTATCTCATCTATATTGTCAGATAAGGGAGGGAAGAAATATAGATGGTATAGTAGAAAGTCTTCAATGGAAGAGCATGGTTTTTAGAAAGCTTGACTTTAAGCCATAACTGCCTCACTCACTGGGTTATAGCTTTTCATATTGCAAACTGGAAATCATAATCCCTGTGTTACCTATTTCAGAGTTGTAATGAAAACCAAATTGGATGTATTTTATAAACTACCAATTATGATGTAAATGATGGTTGCTACATAATTTCTTATTGTCTTTGAAGTTTATGTGGCCCAAATGATTGATACACATAAGTGAAACAGTTTCCTTAAAAGTACAAAACACTAGATATTCTCTAAGTAATTTGAAGGTATGGTGAAATTTATAGAAATTTTACAGAGAAATTTGTAGAAATCTTATAGAGACTCTTTCCTTTTTTTTTTTTTTTTTTTAAATAAGACAGAGTCTCATTCTGTCACCCAGACTGGAGAGCAATGACGCGAGCTCAGCTCATCACAACCTCCGCCCCCCAGGTTCAGGTGGTTCTCCTGCCTCAGCCTTCCAAGTAGCTGGAGTTACAGGCATGTGCCACCATGCCTGGCTAATTTATAGAGACTATTTCAAGTCAAAATCAGATCTGTACCTGTAGTTTAGCACAGGTGTAACATAATCATTAGTCCATCTAGTTATTGAAGATAGGTAACACTAATTCTAGAAGCACCCTAAACTATTAATGTTTAATAATGTATTTTCAGTTGTTTTGTTTTAAATTTGTTGTATTAGATTATCATTTTTTCTTCTTGAACCACAACTGTAAAATATTAGAACATACTTTATTAGTAAGGAATAGAGACTTTATAACTATATTCCCAGTTTAATGCAGCAAAAAGGATTATTTTTGAAGCCATATATTATGTAACTTAGAAGACAAATCTAAATATGAAATAATTTATTTTTCTTATACATTGAGTTACAATTTGTTTTTTACTTTTTTTTTTTTTAAAGACGGAGTCTCACTCTGTTGCCCAGGCTGAAGTGCAGTGGTGTGATCTTTGCTCGCTGCAACCTCTGCCTCCTGGGTTCAAGCAATTCTCCTGGCTCAGCCACTCAAATAGCTGGAACTATAGGCATATACCACCATGCTTGGCTAAGTTTTTTTTGTATATTTAGTAGAGACAGGGTTTCGTCATGTTGGCCAGGCTGGTCTTGAACTCCTGACCTCAAGTGATCCACCCACCTCGGCCTCCCAAAGTGCTGGGATTACAGGCATGAGCCACTGTACCAGGTCATTTTTCATGTTTTTGAAAAAGTGTATAATGACATACCAGTTCTTTGAAATGAAGTGTTTTATAACTTGGGTTTCAGCTGGGTGTGGTGGCTCATGCCTGTAATCCCAGCACTTTGGGAGGCCAAGGTGGGTGGATCACCTGAGGTCAGGAGTTCAAGACCAACCTGGCCAATATGGTGAAACCCCATCTCTACTAAAAATACAAAAAATTAGCCGGGCATGGTGGCGCTTCCCTGTAGTCCGAGCTATACAGGAGGCTGAAGCAGGAGAATCATTTGCATCCAAGAGGTGGAGGTTGCAATGAACCAAGATCGCACCACTGCACTTGAACCTGGGCAACAGAACGAGACTTCATCTCAAAAAATAAATAAATAAATAACTTGGGTTTCATTTATTAAACAATTAATTTTTTTTTTCTTTTTTTAAATGTTTTTACTGCTAGTATCTGCCAGATGCCTGTTCGTAATATTGGATAGAATAAAGTGGACAGGCCCTTTCTCAGGAAACTTTCATGGTGCTTAAGTTCTATTGCTTTGTATGATCTTCAGTCAGCATCTTAGCTTAAACAAATTATCTCTCTATGTAGCTATGGTTAGCCCCAGAATGTAAGTAAAAACTTCTTGGAGTAAAGTTTATTTTACTAATAATTAAGCTTGATTAGGAAAAGACAAGATAGGATTGTTAGGAAGTTATGATGTTCACTAATCTTCTGGCTGGGAAATATTTCTTCGAAGAGAGGAATTTGCAAAGCTAGAAACATGATTTCCACAATGACTCTTGTTGAAGAGGACCTACTGAAAAGACTTAATCAAGATTTTGAAACTCAGGCCAGGTGCAGTGGCTCATGCCTATAATCCCAGCACTTTTGGAGACCAAGGCGGGTGGATCACCTGAGGTCAGGAGTCCGAGACCAGCCTGAGCAACATGGTGAAACTCCGTCTCTACTAAAACAATAGAAAATATTAGCCAGGCATGGTGGCATGCGCCTACTTGGGAGGCTGAGGCGAGAGAGTCGCTTGAACTAGGGAGGCAGAGGTTGCAGTGAGCCGAGATCGCACCACTGCACTCCAGCATGGGCAACAGGGTGAGACTGTCTCAAAAAAAAAAAAAAAAAAAGAAAGAAAGAAAAAACAAGATTTTGAAAGTCAGATTTGACATGTTATTTGGCATTTATATTCTAGAGATAGATTGATAGCCTGAACAGATCAGATCATCCTCAAGTCTCAGAGTTATCTAATGATTAGTGTATGGGTGCAAGTTATCAGCACCTAAGTGTATTAAGAATGCATTATAAACAACTGACAAATTTATTTTGTAGGGAATTATAGTTTATGTGATTTAGAAATACTTATTTTCATATTTGAAGCAAATGTCTAGTCAGTATCAGGCTGTCTCAGAAGTGTGGCCATTTCAGCTAATGGTCCCACCGCATTTATATTAGGCTGTAAGTAATGCATTTAACTGCAATTAGCATCTCTAAAATGTTGAGAAAGCTGTAACTGGGACCCAGTCTGGCATACTCACATTACAGCCTTGTCCACCTTTTTAACTATACAGTCTGGTCACATTTTTTGGGCTATGGAGTCTTATGTATGCAAGAAAGAAGAACTAGGATTTAATGTCGAGAAAATTAGATATATTTTTTATATTTAATGATTATTTTCTATTGCTAAATATTTTTATTTTTAATTTTTAATTCTTAACTACATAAAATATATTTGACTTTAAAAAGATTATGGCTATAATAATAAAGAAAAATAAGCATATTTCTTTTAACCTTTCTTATTTTGTTCCTAACATATTAGGTTGGTGTAAAAGTAATTGTGGTTTCAGACCATGAGTTTTAAATCATTATAACTAGGCTCAAACACATCTTTATGAATAAAAATAGAAACCATTACGATCAACACATTTTTGCCAATGAAAATTAAGTTTTTTTATTCCTGTAGTATAAAAATCCATGCTTTGGAATTCTACGAACTCTTAGAAAGTATTTTCTGCATCCTGCCTTGCCTGTGGAAGCATTTTCCCTGCAAAAAGTTGTTAAGATGCTTGAGGAAGTGGCAGTCAGTTGGTGAGAGGTCAGGTGAATATGATGGATGAGGCAAAACTTGTAGCCCAGTTCATTCAACTTTTGAAGCATTGGTTATGTGACATGTGGTTGGGCGTTGTCATGGAGAAGACTTGGGCCCTTTCTGTTGACCAATGCCGGCTATAGGTGTTGCAGTTTTTGGTGCATCTCATTGATTTGCTGAGCATAATTCTCAGATGTAATGATTTCACCAGGATTCAAAAAGCTGTCATGGATCAGAATGGCAGCAGACCAGGATACAGTGACTATGATCTTTTTTTTAGTGCAAGTTTGGCTTTGGGAAGTGCTTTGGAGCTTCTTCTCAGTCCAATCACGAGGCTGGTCGTCGCCCACTTTTCATCACACAATCTGATCAAGAAATGGTTCGTTGTTGCATAGAATAAGGGAAGACGACGCTTCAAAACGACGATTTTTAAAGTTTTTGCTCAGCTCATGAGGCACCTACTTATTGAGCTTTTGGGGGTTTATTTATTTATTTGTTTGTTTTGTTTTGTTTTTGAGATAGAGTCTCACTTTGTTGCCCAGGCTGGAGTGTCATGGCTCAGTCTGGGCTCACTGCAATCTCTGCCTCTCGGGTTCAAGCAATTCTCCTGCCTCAGTCTCCCAAGTTTCTGGGACTACAGGCGTATGCCCCCATGCCTGGCTAATTTTTGTATCTTTAGTAGAGACAGGGTTACACCATATTGGCCAGGGTGGTCTCGAACTCCTGACCTCAGGTGATCCACCCACCTCGGCCTCCCAAAGTGCTGAGATTACAGGTATGAGCCACCATGCCTGGTCTTATTGAGCTTTCTAATTTGCTTCAAATGCTGAATGGTCGATGGTGAGTTCTTCTGCAACTTCTTGTGTAGTTGTAAGAGGATCAGCTTCGATCATTGCTCTCAATTGGTTGTTGTCTACTTCCTATGGCCAGCCACTATACCACTCCTCTTCAAGGCTCTCATCTCCTTTGCAAAACTTTTTGAACCTCCACTGCGCTGCATGTTCATTAGCAGTTCCTGGGCCAGATGCGTTGATGTTGCAAGTTGTCTCCACTGCTTTTTGACCCATTTTGAACTTGAATAAGAAAATTACTGACATTTGTTTTTTGTCTAACATCATTTCCATAGTCTAAAATAAACATAAACAGCAAGTAGTAAGTTATTAACAAGAAAATATAAAGCGAGAAATGCTCATTAAAATGTTGTATAACATAACCACATTTATTTAAGAACATATTCCAGTATCAAACGGCAAATTTCAACAATGCAAACACCACAATTACGTTTGCACTAACTTTAATATTTATTTTTATATCTGTGAATTAAGAATGCATAAGTAAAAATAATAAATAGCAACAAAACATTAAAATATTAGTGATCACATATTTCATGTAACCAGTCCATCAATATAGGACAATTAAAAGTGATTTTGCACTAGCTCTAAGATCTTTGGCAAATGCTTTGCCTAAATTTTCCCAGAGTTTTAAAATGAAATACCTTTTACTGAGATGTGCTGATTGATGTAGCTGCATTTCTGAATTAACTGGAAAAATATAACTTTCAGAACTGTGGTTTGTTTTATTCAGCCCTTAATAAACTGAGAGTTTACCTAAATATATTATGGTGATTTTGTTGAACCAATATTTAATAAGCATCTGTATCCCCAGCCCTGGCAATACAAAGATGAATAAGCTGAGTTTGCTCATAAATCAGTCAGAAGTTGCTGTATGTTTTCTACCATATAATTCATTGTCTTCTCCTCAGTTTGTACCTATTAGCATTAAATCTCTGATTTCCAGGAACAAAGTTTCTAAATTGCCTGCAAATGTATTTTAATTTTGAAACTAGAACAATAATCCATCTAGTCAAAAAGTTATAAGATGATGGTTAAATATAACAAAATATTTTGGTGCCAGTGCTCAGCCTTACACTGTTTTGTATACACACAAATAAATTATATCCACAACCTGAACTTGAAGCAAATATTGTGAATTTTTCAGAGATGTATACTTCAGTGGAAAAGGGAAGCCTGTAGCATTGAATGCCTTTACTGTTTTTGTTTGTCTGCGTTTTAGCTTTTGTTTTGTTTTGTTTTGACAGAGGGTGGGCCATTGTTCTTTTTAGTTTTTATAGTGGAGTTATTGGGAGAGGGCATTACTAAATGCATGTTAAATTGGTGAAATATGAGTGGAAAATTGTCACTTGGCACTATTCAAGAGTGAATCTCAGTGTGCAGTCAATGAAAATATGATCTCTTTTATCCAGGTTGGTGCTCTTTTTGTATTGCCATGTACCATTAGTAACATACTTATTCCACCTCCCAACCAACTCAGTTCAAGAAAATGGAAGGAATATATAGCTAAAAAGCCTAAAACCATCAGTGGTGAGTATTACATGTTTCAATTGTTTTAATGATGCAGCATAGTTAATGTATGTATCAAATTTGAAGTGAAGATAACATTTCTATATGAGAAAACAGTATTTCATATTATTGCTATTACATAATATTGATGTATTATAACCAGGAGTCTACATCATTTTCAGATTTTTAATTGCAACCTACTGTAACATAAAGTATCTCTAACCATATTCATTTAAAATGCTAGTGATCTAAAGGCAGAACTCTTGGTTCATTAGATAGCTAATTATATTGAACATGGGTTTTTTTAGAGATGTTTCAGGAATCAAATATGTGAAAAGAGCGGTTCATTTATTATATGGTACATTAAAAAAAACAAACCTGTGATAATTTTTTGAAGAAATTAGTAGAAGTTATTTATTTATTTATTTAGAGATAAAGTCTCACTTTGCCACCCAGGCTAGAGTGTGGTGGCACAATCTTGGTTCATTGCAACCTCCACCTCCTGGGTTCAAATGATTCTCCTGCTTCAGCCTCCCAAGTAGATGGGATTACAGGCACCCACCACCACACCTGACTAATTTTTGTATTTTTAGTCGAGATGGGGTTTCACCATGTTGGCCAGGCTAGTCTTGAACTCCTGACCTCAAGTGATCCACCCGCCTCCGCCTCCCAAAGTGCTAGGATTACAGGCGTGGGCCACCGCGCCTGACCTAAGGTTTTTTATTTAACAGTTTAACTGTATCTTACACAATATTCCAAGTATTCTATTTTAGATATACTGATTCATTTAATTTTTGTAATAACCCTGTATACTTATTTTTATCCCCATTTTACAGATGAAGGAATTGGAGCTTAGAGAAGTGACAAAGCTATTAGTTGGCAGAACCTATGGCTCTGTCACTTCTCCAAGGGTTTGAACCTGTGCTCTTGTGCTCTTTACCACTACTCTGTGTTCCCACTCGGTTCCTCTAGTATATTCAAGATGTCTTTATCCAAATGAGAATTTCTGTTATAAAATCAGAGATTAAGTCTAAACCCTAGTATTTCATGAGGTGATTGTGGCTTAGAATGTTAAAATTACTTTCCCAAAGTCACGTTGGTGAAATGTGTTCCATCATACTTTGGCTTTGATGTGTTTTTTAAATTGAACAAAATTTTTAAACTTTTTTAGCTTATAGTTTTTGTGACCCATAATGTGATGGGACTAAGAACTGTAATTGAGACATGTGTACCAGAACTATTATGAAGAAATCTGTAGGAATACTCCACAGGGCCCTTTAATTTTGAGGAATACAATTTAAAAATCAGTAGCTTATACAGTATAGATTTTCTATTTTTCCATATAAGAAACAGGAGAGATACTGAATTCTATTTTAGCAGATGTTGAATTGCAAATGTAGGTAAGATATCTGTGGAAATTTAAATGTAGAGTTTGAATTTTAGGTACAGATCTCTAGATAATAGTCAGGGCTGGATATTTGGATTTTGAGTTTTCCAGCAGTTTTATCTATTGTGTAATAAGCCATCCCAAAACTTAGTGGCTTGAAAGAGCAAACACTTTATTTGCTTATAGTTTTGCAGTCTGAGCTGCCCTCAGCATCTACTGATTTCACCAGAGGTCATTGATGTGGGTGTTTTGAACTTGCAAATCATTTGGAGGCTGGGTTCAGTGGAGCTGGCTGGTTTTCTTTCTCCGTTTAGTCTCAGAGCCTTTTCCTTGCCACATGGTCTTGTCACATGATCTCTCCTGCAAGTTAGCTGGAGTTTTTCCATGGTGGCTCGGGACAAACGTATAGAACTTGAAACTACCAAGACTTTTGAAGGCTTAATCCCAGGACTAGCCCAGTCTTACTTCTGTTACATTCTGTTATTTAGAGCTAGTGACAAGAATAGTCCAAATTCAAGGAGGAAGTACCTATCTAAAGATGTGAATAATAGGAAGCCACTAATGTAAAAAGTCTACCATAGGTGCCTACTAGTTAGGAATGTAGAATGTTAGTTAGGAATGGTTGAAAACAACAACACATAAACAACATGGCTAGAGAAGAGAGCCAAGGATAGAGTCTTTAGAAATACAGTCATCCCTCAGTATCCACTGGGAATTGGTTCCAGGACCCCTGTGGATAACAAAATTCCTAGATGCTCAAATCCCTCATATAAAATGGAGTAATAGTTGCATATAACCTGTGCACATTCTCCTGTATACTTTAAATCATCTCTAGATTACTTATAATGCCTGATACAACGTAAATGCTGTGTAAAGACTTGTTATACTATATGGTTTTTAAAATTTATATTCTCGGTTATTGATTTGTTATTTTTAAATTTTTTTCTGGAATATTTTCAATTCCTGGTTGGTTGAATCCACAGTGTGAAACCCATAGATGTAGAGGGCAAATTGTACCTGCATGTAAGGTGAAAGTGGAGGGAAAGTTAGGAAATGATACGGTAAATGATCTTTGGAAGACCCTAGCAAGTTATCGTTAACATCAGCATTAAAATACCATTGATAAAGAGCATGGTGCAAAGTGTGGGAAATAAAGGAGCATCAAACTGGGTTTTTACACTTGAGGAAGTAGATTCATGGTCTTTTTCTTTGTGAAATTTATACTCAAGTGAGGAATGTACCTGGGAAAATAATTATAAGTCTGTCTAGCCAACATTGAAGGCAAAATGAAAGGTACTTCCAGAGTGTATGACCTAACATAGCCTTAAGAGTTCAAGAAAAGTTTCCTGTAGGAGGAGACATTATTACTGTAACTTACGGCACCATACTAATACATGAATAAGTGCAGCTTTTAACCATTCTCATCTCACAGGGAACAAATATGTATTTGGTAATTTTGGCACTTGCTAAAACAATCAGAAATAGATTTTCTGAGTGGCAATATAGTCAATTTCACTTATTCTACATATAATCATGGAATAATACTGATCCATTTCTCAGCTTTACGTATGTCCAAAATTGATTAAACATACGTAGACATATGCAGTCAGTTAATCATAATATTAACATCTCAATAAACTTGAGTATATTCTGGCAGCCCATTCATTATTTATTTTTCCTCTTGTAACTTTCTCCAACTTCAAACAACCATTACGTTGGAACTTCTGATTTTAAGGTAATTTACTCTTAACTTAGGTGTGGGGTTTTTTTGGCATGATTTCCATTGTAATTTTAAGAAAATACCTTGTGGCTTGATTTGATTTTTTAAAATTATCTCTTCTTGAAATTTGAGCATTAATATTGGTAACTTGTGAATAATAATAAGACACAGATCACATAATCTTTGAAGCCAGATTGTTGATTACTGATTAGACTTTATCATTAAGGGCTGATTAAGCTGACACTTTACAGTATTTTTTAAAAAAATCTTAGAAGTAGAAATAAAATCAAACTGGACAGTTGATTATTCAGTTCTCTTCTACCCATAATCCTCTCTGTAGGAGAAATTCTTACCTATTAACGGAATTTTTTTTTGTAAAAATAGAGAAGCTGAGTTTTAGCTAATGTAAAAGCTTCAATAACTCACACCTGGCAAACTTCCTATCCCTTCCTAGCATCACTAACAGTACCCTTTCTCACTATCCCAAATCATATAGCGACTCTCAGATCATTCTCCTACACCATGACTCTGTTTCTCCACAGTCTTCTGAATTATGCCCAACTGTTGTCTGTTGTTGCCACATATGTTCCAGAATCTTCATTCTAACTTTGTACTGTTTCCTGAAAGCATTCCTTGATTTTATTCCTTTGTGACTTTATTATTCATTCATGCATCTAGTGAGTTATACCTTTTATTCATTTATTTGAATATACAGCAGATATTGTGTATCAGGCATGGTACTGTTATCTTGGGATTACTGATCCATGAGATAGACTTGAGTCTTCCTCTAATGGAATGTACACTGTACTACAGAAAATAGATATTCAGAAGTTATTATAACATTGTATTTAGTAGTCACTGACTAGGAAAAATCCCCAAGACATAATGAATGAAAAAAGCAAGGTATGCAATAGTTATACTATTATTAATGATAAAAACAACTTTGTGTGTATTGAGCATTTAAACATATTTGTATATGCATTAAATATCCACTTTTTCAACAGATATTTTTATCGAGCACTTACAATATATTAAGCAGTGTTTTACATGCTGGACCAGCAGTAAATAGAACAAAATCCTTGCCCTAATGGAGCTTATTTTATGGTGGAGGTAACAGGTTTAGTTTTTCCCCCAGATAGCCATATGACTAGTTCCTAATTTTTTCAGGTCTTTACTCCAAAATCATTTTTCTCTTTTAGGACCTTTTTTGCCAGCCCATCTAACGTTGCAAACAGACTCTTCTCCTGACCTCTTATTCATCTTCCTAGCTTTATCTTTTTACCTTAATACTCATGCTGTCTAATGTACTAAATGTGTGTCTGCCTGACACTTAACAGTTACTCAAAAGTGTTTGTTAAATAATGAGTGAAGTATATATTTCTAGGTAGTAATAACTGCTCTCCAGACAGTTAAAGAAAGACTTTGAATGGACTCCATCTATGTAGTATGAACCAAAATTTGTGCTCCAATTTTTATCAGTTTCATCCTTTGATGAAATAAAAAATACATATGTATTAATTTGAACCATATGTTGTTTTTGTATATCAAAAATTGTTTTGTATCAGCAGTTTCATAGAGTGAACTAAAACGGACAAACAATGCCCAATTTGAAGTATGGTTTAATTATAATAGCAAATAAATGCCTTTTAAAATTGGTATTCAATGAAATACCCAGAAATTACTATGATACAGGAAAAATGCAAAAGCACTGTACAAACAAATGCAATTAAGTCAATCATATTACATTTCAAAAGAAAAATGTCTATGTGTAAAACTTATTGAGAAGACAGATGAACAGTGAAAAATGGCTGGCTCACCATGTTTACAGAGATATTTTATGAAGTTGTCAAAAAATTGAATGATCATGTGCAACCTAAACAAATCATAGATAAGTAATAAAAAATTTTATCTCCC